TTTCTAACACCTAGCAAGCTGTCACTGCTCCCACCTAGCAATGAGAGCTTGCTAGGTGTTAGAAAAGAAAAAAGCCCAGAACCGAGTAGATGTGATTCTACTGAGCTAACTAATTTTCTTTTTATATTGGCTTACTTACATTTTTGTTAATTACGATGAAAAAGTGTAGTTATAAACCTTCTCTATTTTTGACGCTGGTAAAATTGATCATAGGCTGTTCTTTTGCTCATTGGGCATTTTTATCAAAAATTTTATCAAAACAATTCTTAACAAATAACTAACATTTCTAAACTAACTAACTAAATAAGAATTCAACAGACATTATTTGGGTAGGGAAGATCCTAAAATAACTTTTGCCGTGGCTGTGTTTCTAATTGCAGCCTGAGGAATTCATGCTTTATTAATAGCAAAGCTATTAATTTTTTATCGTATGTGGTTATGCTTTGGGTTGTTGTTTTTTTGTCTGAACTGGATCTATATAACCCAGTTAATCCTTATTCCAGTACAAAAATGGTCACAATACAGGGTGGTTTGTTCAAAATCTAGGTTAAACTAACTAATAAGCTGACTTTGTATAAAATATGCAAAAGTATGAAGGCTATTGCTTAACGCACTGTAAGCCGCCCTGAGTCTCCGGAGAAGGGCGGCATATAAATCAAATTTAAAGAAACAACAACTGTGTGAGACTTGGTGTGTTTGTGAGAATGCAGATATAATGTGAATGCTTAGTAGCTTAATCCTAAAACAGAAGTAATAATCCATCAATCATGGGAAGTCATTGAGAATTGGGTTGCATGCACATTTAATAATTAATATATTATTACGATGATGACGGTTGGTTGCACAGTCAATCCAGATGTTCAGTCTGGATTGGCATTTTTTATTCACCTATTGAGTTCTTTTCAAGGACCTGGATTAGACAGATGTTATTTGATGTTGTCCAAGGTTCATCGCAGGTTGTAAGCTGTTCTTCGTCGTATTGACCGTCACAGGATGTAAGCTGTTCTTCGTCGTGACATTGGATTTGTGCGATGTTTATCAATGGTGTTTTCAAAGTTGTGTTCCAGATGTTTGATAGATTGCATCCAAGGCACCATTATTATTGTGGTTGGCAGAGAGTTTTTTGGGAGGGGGGATATTAGGCAATTTTATCCCCCTATCAAGTCCTTCCCAAGGACCTGGAATTGGTATATGTGGATGTGTTAATTTGTTAAAGTCATCATAGGATGTAAGCTGTTCGAAATCAAGCTGCCTTTTGCAATTGACTGATGGGATTTTGTCAATGCCGATGGTGTTCAAGGGGTGCTCCAGATGTTTTCGGATTGCACCCAAGGCGCCTGTGACTATTAGTACTATCTTCGAAACGGTCATAAGCTATTTTATTGAATGCTTTTATAACTTTGAATGGTGGTTAAATGGTTGTAAGCAAGGGTCTTCCTTGAACAATATAGAATTATGTCTTGGAAAGTGTTTATACCTAATAAACATTTTCACACTAAATCTGGCAATATATATACTGGAAGAGTTTTCAAAAAGAGTACATTAGGCACCAGGTGGGCAGATGTTTCTGGGCAAGCAAAGAGAGTCAGTTTGGTCTAGTGGTGAGGCACCAGGCTAGAAAATAGGGGACTGTGAGTTCTAGTGCTGCCTTAGCTAAGATACAGCCAGGTGACTTTGGGCCAATCGCCAGGAGACAGTGAGTTCTAGTCCTGCCTTAGCCATGAAATCGAGCTGGGTGATTTTGGGCCAACCACTAGGAGACTGTGAATTCTAGTGCTGTCTTAGCCATGCGAAAGCGACTGGGTAACTTTGGGCCAACCACCAGGAGGCTGTGAATTCTAGTGCTGTCTTAGCCATGAAAGCTGACTGGGTAAACTTGGGCCAAACCACCAGGAGACTGTGAATTCTAGTGCTGCCTTAGCCATGAAAGCCGGTTGGGTGACTTTGGGCCAGTCCCTCTCTCTCAGCCCAACTCACCTCACAGGGGGGTGGGGAAAATAGGAGGAGGAAGACATTGTATATCACTACCTTCTGTTTGTAAAAATAATAAAGATGGAATACAAATAAAGAAACTGAGAAAAGAAACTGAATTTTTCCCCCCCTTCAAATTTCAATCGGTTTTTTTTTTCCCCTTGTTTAGGCTGAAATATTTTCTTCCAGTTTGAAGTTTGTATCATCACCATTACCTGAAGATGAAGATAGTCCTTATGGTAGCTGAGAAGCCTTCTCTGGCTCAGTCCATCGCCAAAATCCTTTCAAGAGGTTTGGGGAAAAAAGGATATTCTGTTAATATTAGTTACAATTTTAAATGTCAATATTCCAAGCATTATTTACTCACTCACTCACTCACTCATTCATTCATTCAAATTAAATATAATGTCTAAGTATATTGATAATGTATAAGGTCTATTTACCCATGTAGCATGGCTGTATTATCCTTCTCATCTTTTCTACTACCTTCTCTTATTGGCATTATTATTATGATTACAGTATTATTATTCTGGAATAGAATAGAGGAGAGTAGAGTAGAGTAGAGTATAGAGTAGAGTAGAGTAGAGTAGAGTAGAGTAGAATAGAATAGAATAGAATAGAGAATAGAATAGAATAGAATAGAATAGAATAGAATAGAATAGAATAGAATAGAATTCTTTATTGGCCAAGTGTGATTGGACACACAAGGAATTTGTCTTTGGCGCATACATAAAAAGACAAGATACATTCGTCAAGAATCATAAGGTACAACACTTAATGATACATAAAGTACAAATAAGCAATCAAATCATACTAGGAAATAATCAATATAAATCGTTAGGATACAGCAATTAGTTACAGTCATACAGTCATAAGTGGGAAGAGATGGGTGAGAGGAACGATGAGAAGACTAATAGTAATAGTAATGCAGAGAGAGGTTTTACACTGGAGACAAATTCCTTGTGTGTCTAATCGCACCAAATAAAAGTATTCCGTTTCTATTTCTACAGCGGCCATCTTGGTCAAGGACTCTGGGAAGCTTCCAATTTTAAAAACAGATGATTGTTAAAATACTAAAAACAGTTTTAAAATGGTAAAAGCCCAAATTAAATATCAATATGTAAATATAATAAGGGCCGAGGTGGCTCAGTGGGTAGAGTGCAGCACTGCAGGCTACTTCAGCTGACTGCTAGCTGCAGTTCGGCAGTTCAAATCTCACCGGCTCGAGGTTGACTCAGCCTCTTATCCTTCCGAGGTGGGTAAAATGAGGACCCAGATTGCTGGGGGGAAAGAGGCTGACTCTGTAAACCGCTTAGAGAGGGCTGGAAAGCACTGTGAAGCAGTATATAAGTCCAAGTGTTACTGCAATTTCCTTCCTTCTTCTTCCTTCCTTCCTTCCTTCCTTCCTTCCTTTCCTTCCTTCCTTCCTTCCTTCTTCCTTCCTTCCATCCATCATGCATCCATGCATCCATGCATCCATGCATCCATCCATGGTGCACGTGGTTAGAATGCAGTATTGCAGGCTGATTCTGCCCATAGCCAGGAATTCGATCCTGACCGGCTCAAGGTTGACTCAGCCTTCCATCCTTCCGAGGTGGTAAAATGAGGACCCGGATTGTTGGGGGCAAGAGGCTGACTCTGTAAACCACTTAGAGAGGGCTGTAAAAGCACTGTGAAGCGGTATATAAGTCTAAGTCCTATTGCTGTTGCTATAATTATTGGGCTTTTCTTCAAAATTAAATACGTTGAATGTACAATAAAATAAAACATTAATAAAATGTTAACAGCAAGGCATTTATTTACCTTAAAATCAAAACCATTATCTGTTTTGATTTTAAGGTAACTCGATGTATGCTTGATGTCAGTGGTGAAATCCAATTTTTTTTACTACCGGTTCTGTGGGCGTAGTGTGGCTTGGTGGGCGTGGCTTAGTGGGCGTGTCAGGAGAAGGATATTGCAAAATCTCCATTCCCACCCCACCCTGGGGGCCAGCCAGAGGTGGTATTTGCTGGTTCTCCAAACTGCTCAAAATTTCCGCTACCTGTTCTCCAGAACCTGTCAGAACCTGCTGGATTTCACCCCTGCTTGATGTACAACTTGAAGTTTGCCCTTATCTCATATTTTTTTTATTTTTTTTCATTTTGGTTGTTTCCTAAAAAGATCTCTTTGAAGTTGTAAACCTGAAAGGATGTTTGTAATATCTGGCCTTTTTTTTTTTTTTTTTGTAATTTTATTGGGGGGGGGGTTTCGCCCACTGTAGGAAACATGTCGTCTCGCAAAGGGTTAAACGGAGTGTGTTCTGTCCATGAATTCACCGGTCCTTTCATTGGACAAACTGTCCATTTCAAGATGACGTCAGTATGTGGTCATGTGATGACACTGGATTTTATAGGTAAAATAATCATTCTTGGCTATTTACTTCCACTTTGCTGTAAGCTGTAAGCAAGAAGGATGCAATGCAGAGCAGTTTCAAGGGAATTCCAATCCCAACACTTTAGATTAGTACAGATAGTCCTCGATTTATGACCAAATTGAGCCCAAAATTTATGTTGCAAAGTGAAACATTTCTTAAGTAATTTTGTCCCCTTTTACGACTTTTCTTGCCACAGTTGTTGCTTCTAGTCCTGAAATAAATATTATTCTAATTCTTTACAAAGATGTTATTGTTGATGATGGTGATGATGTTATCTGCCCTTTTTAGGAAAATACAACAACTGGGATAAAGTTGATCCCGCTGAACTTTTTAGTAAAGCGCCAACCGAAAAGAAAGAAGCCAACCCAAAACTAAACATGGTGAAATTCTTACAGGTAATGAACTCTTTGGAATTTGCTTAGAAATTTAACTATTTATTGACCTGATTGTGAGAGCCAGGTTGATCTTTTAGGACCTGTCCGCACGAACAAGCAAAGCCCCATCCATGGGATGCACATGAAGCTAATTCCCCTCCGGTCTGTGGAAAAACCTTTCCCCACGGAACCGCTCCCTGGTTCCCAAACGGCCGGAGGCCACTGACTTAGGGTCATGGGTGGGTTCCTGGGGGTTCGGGCGATCCTCTAGCCAAAGATCTGGCCTGTTCATCATTCCAGGTAAGTGCAGGGGCTGCGCTGAGGGACTGGGAGGGCAAAAAATGGATCTACTGGAGGTTCCAGAAGTCCGGAAACGGGCCTGTTTCTGGCCTCCGGACCACAGGGGAAGCAGTTTTCGCCCTGCTAGAGGCTCAAGGAAAGCCCCTGGAGCCTGGAGAGGGCGAAAAATGTCCCTCGCCTGCCGTGATGCAGGCGGTCAACTAGGCCGCGTCCACCCAGCAACGGGGCAGCAAACCCGTTGCTAAAGGATCTGAAGCCCACTCCTGCTTAGGATCCATCCCATTCAGCCGTCCAAATTGGTGGAAATAAGAGCCTTGGTAGTACAGTGTCTAAGGCACCCTGTTATTAAGCTGGTTATTAAGACCAGCTGCCTGCAATTACTGCTGGTTCGAATCTCTCCAAGGCTCAAGGTTGACTCAGCCTTCCATCCTTTCTAAGGTAGGTGAAATGAGGATCCAGTTTGTGGGGGCAATAAGCTGACTTTGTATAAATATACAAAAGAATGAAGGCTATTGCTTAGCACATTGTAAGCCGCCCTGAGTCTCCGGAGAAGGGCGGCATATAAATCAAATTAAAAAAAAAATGCTTGAAAATGGGATCTCAAGAGTTTTGGCACGCAACCAAACCATTGAACAGTGAATTAAATGTATCTTTCCTTTGCTTTTTTTTTTCAGGTGGAAGGGAGAGGTTGCGATTACGTTGTTCTGTGGCTGGATTGCGACAAGGAAGGTGAAAATATATGCTTTGAGGTACATGTCTCAGGATCAAACTGTAACATTTCCCTTCATTTAACCAGGTTGCCCCAAAGTGCTTTTTTTCAGGAGGCAACTGGACTTGCTTGTTTTTTCTTTTGAAGACGTTTCGCTTCTCCTCCAAGAAGCTTCTTCAGCTCTGATGGGATGATGGTGAATGGAAGGATTGATATTCCTTGCAGACAGCTGGTCATTTGCATCCTTTCAGAGGGTCTTTGAAGCCACTTGGAGGTTTTATCTGTATCCTCAGGGTCACCTGAGTAGTGCAAATGGTTCCTGTAGTCTGCCATTTTTTCCTCTGGAAATCCATTCCTACTCCCACACCATTCAAAGGGTGTCCATCCCAAATTGTATAGCTACGAGGACACAGATAAATCTCCAAGTCAGAGCTGTCAAACTCCCAGCCCGCGAGCCAGATGCATCATGCACTGGCCATGCCCACGGTTTAATGAAGGGGGAAAAAGTCCCGATACGTCACGTCACTCTGCTGTGACGACGTGAGTTTGACACCCCTATTCCAAGTGCTTCAACGACCCGCTAAAAAAACTGCAAATGACCAGCTGTCTGCAAGGAATATACAGACCACAAGAAACGCAGAGGTGGGCTGCTGCTGGTTCAGACCAGTTTGCCTGAACCGGTAGTTCTGATTCTGCACGGTTTGGAGAACTGGCAAATCGGACTACTGTCTGACCCCTCCCCATTTTTATGACCATTTTTCCAGCCAAAATCGGCCTGAAAACAGCCCAAAAAATGGCCTGAAAACAGCCCAAAAAACAACCCATTTTTTCGGACTGTTTTCAGGCTGATTTTTGGGGCTTTTTCAGTGATTTTTTGGGTGAAAAATGGCCCGAAAACAGCCCAAAAAAATGCCCACAGAACAGGCTGTTTTTCGGGCCATTTTCTGGGCTGTTTTCAGGCTGTTTTCTAGCCAAAATCACCCCAAAAATGGCCTGAAAGCAGCCCCAAAAAGGCCTAAAAACGGACCAATAAACAGCCAGAAAATGACCCAAAAATGCCCACAAAACAGGCTGTTTTTCGGGCTGTTTTCAGGTCATTTTTTCCGCCAAAATCGGCATGAAATCAGCCTGAAAACAGCCCCCCAAAAGTCCAAAAAGCAGCTAACCCAGCTTCTCGTCCTCTTGCAACCAGTTTTCCCAGTCTAGCTTGATGCAGTCTCTCTCTCTCTCTCTCTCTCTCTCACACACACACACACACACGTATGCGCACACACACACACACACACACAAACAGGGTGAATCTTTCTTTCCCCCCCCCCCCCCCCACTGGAGACCCCTGGATTCTCTCCCCAACCATGCCTGCCCCATACAGGTACCACTGACATAGAGTTGGCCATGCCCACTCAGTCACATGACCGCCCCAGCCACGCCCACCCAGCAGAGAACCAGTTGTTAAAAAATTTGGAACCCACCACTGAAGAAACACCTCGCTTAGCAACAGAAATGTTGGGCTTGTTTGTGGTCGTAAGCCGAGGACTCTCCGCACCCCACACATTTGGCTTCCTTGGTTCTAGGTGCTGGATGCGACCCTCCCCGTCATGAATAAACCCCGTGGAGGCGAGAAGACGATCTACAGAGCCAAATTCAGCTCCATCACTGACACGGATATCTGCAACGCCATGAACCAGTTGGGGGAACCCAACCACAACGAAGCTCTGTCAGTGGACGCCCGGCAAGAGTTAGACCTGCGGATTGGCTGTGCGTTTACAAGGTGTGTAAACCAGATTTCCTATCTTGGCTTCTTATTTTTCCTGGGCCTTCCATGGACCACTAATTTTGGTCATTCCATGCACGTCATAAACAGAGGGATAGAATCAAGATCATGTGAAATAATGGGACAGGAGATAGCTTTATCTCCAGAAATCTTCCTCCTGGGTATAATCGGAGATGGCTTTAAAAACAACAAAACGCAACTCATAATCCAGATTACAACTGCGGCTAGATTAGCCTTTGCGAAATACTGGAAAAATAAATCCATACCCTCAGAAGAAATAACTAATAAACAAAATCCTAGAGTGCGCAGAAATGGCAAAATTGACGAGTGAGATAAATAATGAGGACAAATCTAAATATTATGAAGTGTGGGGAAATTGGTACAATTGGTTGAAGAACAAGCCCAAAACATGATTTTAGGATATGACTTGTTATGCACCCGAAATACGAGCTATATTGCATAGAATATTGTACAGCTAAGGATGTAGTTTATTTAACGTATGATTCCGTAAATTGTATAAACACTGTACCTCTGAAGGAAATAGAGATTGTATATTTTCTTTTATAATGGAAAAATTTAATAAAGTATATTTAAAAAAAAAAAGAATCAAGATCATGTGAAGTGTTAATACCACTTTATAATGCCTTGGTAGTGGAATTTAAAACTATGTTGGCTTTTTTGGCAGCTGTCGCACGCTGTTCCTCTTATTTCCTCTTATGTTCTCTGTTCATTCCTACAGGTTTCAGACAAAATATTTCCAGGGCAAATACGGCAATTTAGACAGTTCGCTGATCTCCTTTGGGCCTTGCCAGACGCCCACCCTGGGGTTCTGCGTGGAGCGCCACGATAAAATCCAGTCGTTCAAACCCGAAACCTACTGGGTGTTGCAAGCCAAGGTAATCTGCTCCTGATTCTTCCGGCCTCCAGTTGTTTGGGAATCTTTAATTCCCACCTCAAAAATCATACAGTTAGTCCTTGATTTACAACAGTTCGTTTAGTGGCCATTCAAAGTTACGACGGCAATGAAAAAAAGTGACTTGGGACTTTTTTCCCACACTTAACGACAATTGCAGCCTCCTCATGTTATCAAAATTCAGACTCTTGGCAACTGACTCATATTTATGTCCCGGGGTCCTGTGATTCCCTTTTGCGACCGTCAAGGCAATGGGGAAGCCAGATTCACTTAACAACCATGTTATTAGCTTAACAAATGCGATGATTCACTTAACAACGTGCAAACAAGGTCGTAAAATAGGGAAAAAAATTCACCTCACAAATGTTTCACTTAAGAACAGAAATGTTGGGCCGTTCAAAGTTACAACGGGCAGTGAAAAAAATGACTTGTGGCCGTTTTTCACACTTAATAACGATTGCCACCTCCTCATGGGATCAAAATTCAAACGCTTAGCCACTGACTCATATTTATGACGGTTGCAGTGTCCCGGCCTCACATGATCCTCTTTTTGCGACCTTCTGACAAGCAAAGTCAATGGGGAAGCCAGATTTCACTAACTTAACAACTGCAGTGACTCACTTAACGGTGGCAAGAATGTTGGTAAAATGGGGCGAAACTCACTTCCCAAATGTTTCACTTAAGACAAAAGAAATTTTGGGCTGAATTGTGGTCCTAAATCAAGGATCATCTGTATTTAGCTCAAAACTTTCAGAATATATATAAATCTAATAAAACAAAACATAAAACAAAACAATGTGGTCTGAAAAGACCATCGTGGTAAATCCTGATGGAAGAACTTGAGAGGTGGCATTTTGTTTTTCTAAAAGTTTTCTTCTTATCAGGTTACTCCCGAAAAAGACAGTTGTTTGACTCTAGAGTGGGACAGAGTCAGGATCTTTGACCGAGAAATTGCTCAGATGTTTTTGAACCTAACGAAAATGGCGAAGGAAGCCAAGGTAAGACCAAGTTAGTGTCGTCTGCAAAAGTAGTCTGCAAAATTTAATCTACCTTGTGGTTTACATTGGATCAGTGGTGGGTTTGCTATCCTTCCTCTTGCTCTTGTAAATTAGAGAGAATGAAATTTAAATGAGTTTTTCCTAGAACTTTGATTTATCCGGATAAAATGGTTAAGGAACATCCCGTTTTTTTGCAGGTTGAGTCTGTGAGTAAAAAGGAGAAAGTGAAACAACGACCTCTGGCTCTTAACACGGTGGAAATGTTGCGGGTTGCCAGCGCTGCGTTGGGTAAATACGGCAGGATTCCTTCCTTTTAAAAAATAATAGCAGTGGCGCTTAGACTTATATACCGCTTCACAGCCCTCTCTAAGCGGTTTACAGAGTCAGCCTCTTGCCTCCAACAATCGGGGTCCTCATTTTATGGTACCGACCTTGGAAGGATGGAAGGCTGAGTCAACCTTCAGCCGGTCAGGATCGAACTCCTGGCAGTGAGCAGAATTAGCCTACAATACTGAATTCTAACCACTGCACCAGGAAGGAAGGAAGGG